AGTGCGGGCCTTTTCGAGTCTAGTGCTTACACATCCCCCTCGTGTGCGCATCACTCTCCACTTACCTTATTTTGGGCACATTTTTGTAATATATTTTTGAAATTGAGAGAGATTCATATGATATTATGATCATATGCACAAAACAGAGGAGCCCAGATGATTAGATCTCCACTTTTGGCTGCTACTATTCAACATATGCAAAAAAACATATGCACTAGCCAAGCCAGGAACTAATCCTTAGTAGATCTTTTTCATGTTTTGTAACACACTAACACTGCAGGTCGAATCAGATAAGCAAAAAAACCTGTCTGTGAATGTGTCTACAATTTTTTAGATAGAAAATAAAGAAATAAAGATATTTCTTGTTGGGAAATGATGTGAATGATCACAGTTTCAATACAGCTAAAACAAACTTCTGTAACATAAAATCCATTACCAAAAAACAAAGAAACTGGAAAGAAAAAGGTATATGCTATACTTGCTGAAATTAAGCCAAGAAGAGATGTTCTTGAAGAATCAAACGTGTGATTGATTGATTTGATTAGTCATTACTATAGTTGGAGGTAACTAGGTAGAACAGCATCCTTTTCTGTTAGTAGCAGATGAATCCGATATGTTAATGGCAGTTCCTTGTCCCGGAACCGGAAGATTACCCGCAGCTTCTTGCGCCGCTAGGGCTTTCTTGCTTATGATATGATAAATCTCAGATAAAATAGTCTGAAACGCTTTCTCGATATTGGTTGCTTCTAAAGCAGATGTTTCGAGAAACGACAAACCTTCTTTCTCAGCGAGAGAGCGACCATCTTCGTCAGCAACAGATCTCAAATGGTTTAGATCCGATTTGTTTCCAGCCATCATGATGACAATGTTGGAATCAGCATGGTCCCTAAGCTCGCGTAACCATCTCAGAACATTCTCAAAAGTTTGTCTCTTGGTTATGTCGTAAACAAGAAGAGCACCAACAGCTCCTCGATAGTAAGCGCTTGTGATTGCTCGGTAACGCTCTTGTCCTGCAGTATCCCAAATCTGAGCCTTCACCGTTTTGCCTTCAACCTAAACAACAGATACACACACAGAAGAAGCATTAACAAAGACCAATCTTCACACCTTCAAAATATTCCAATTGCTAACAAAAGATCTTCAGATCTAAACAATTACATGTCTGATTCATGAAGTTTTTTTCAATTCTACAGTTCGAGAAAACGTATCAAAAACACCAACAAGGGGCGTTTGATTCTGATTATGCCTATCAATTATCAGAGAATGCATATGCGATGATAACTCAAACAGAATCTAGCATCGTCGAGACAAAAGGATAAAAGAGGGATCACCTGTAAAGTCCTGGTGGCGAATTCGACGCCAATGGTGGATTTGGATTCGAGACAGAACTCGTTTCTGGTGAATCTAGAGAGAATATTGGATTTTCCAACACCGGAATCGCCGATGAGGACGATCTTGAACAAGTAATCGTACTCGTGATCTATTCGATTCGCCATTGCCTGTCAAATCCTAGCGTCCGATTTCCCGATCAACCTAAACACATACACGTTAACAATCGAATCGAAGAACTTGCAATAACCGTCTCGGAAGCGGAGACAATGAGATCAAACG